TCGTAAGGGGCTTAGCGTACGGTAAAACTTGACTAATAACTGAATAAAGAGAATCGACCAAGAGGTCACCTTAAAACAAAAAAAAAAATATATATATATTTTATTAATTAAATAAACTACAATATTTTTTGCTTTTTATTTTATTTAATCCAACCTAATCTAATTTAATTTTTTATTAAATTTAGTATTATAAAACTATATAAGTTATGGGTTTTAATTTTTGGTACACCCTGCACCATGGTGCACCCCTTCAATATCTCAAAATTTTACTAAGCTAACCCTGCCATATAACATAAGCAAAAATGTTCCTCGCACAATTTTACGCTAGCCCAACTCTAACCCTAACCCTAATCTTAAGTCTACCTTTAATTATAGTTAGATAAATTTTGCTGGGATGCACCAAATACAAAATTTCATAAGTTATATAGTTTTATACTTTAGTGTAAATTAAAAAATATTTTTTTAAAAAGTAAAAAAAAGGTAAATAAATAGTCTATAATACAGTATATAAGCTTATGCTTCATTTTCAGCAGCAGCAGCAGCCTCCGCTTCTCTTTTTTGACCTAATTTCTGCATCCATCCGGAATAAATTATGGTAAATAAAATTAAACAGCTCAACCAACTATAAATAACAATATTTCCAATATAAACAGCTTCATCAATCGTTTTTGTAAAGTAAATAATTAGGATACGGGCAGGAACTTCAAGAAGTAAACCAAAACCCCAAACAGCGGTCAAGACGATAAATACACGTCGAAATGAAGCATAAGACCTCCAATATCTCTCAAATCGTTCAGGAATAGGTTCATCATCAGTTAAGCCTTTAAGATTACCCATTCCAAGATTTTTACTATTATAATAAATTAAGGGACGCATTTGGAAGGAGCCGATTTTTATCGGAATTAAAGTGACAATAAATACTAAACCAACTACACCAGTGATAAATGATTCTCGTAATAAGTATAGCTTTGGATCATTTTGGATCACAGATAATATAGTACCAGCAATGAAACCGACTATACTGAGTATTCCTATGGCGTTGACTTGTTTTCGAATGATAAAATTAAGGATAACAGAAACAACAGGTGGGATACCTGATATGATTAGTGCCCAAATAGTGGGTATGTATTTTGAAAGAATAAAATATAGGAGGAGTGGTAAACCGACATCAACAAATATCATAAATAAATTGAATAATAACATTCTTTTATTTTTTTGAGCAGAATTAGTTTTGAGTGTTGAAGGCGCTAGTGGTTCTGATGTGGTTGAGGGAGCTGGGGGTTCTACTACCGATGAAGAAACCGAGTCCCTCAATGGTCGAGTTACACGATCCTCGCAATCTGTTCTGTTTGATCCTGGCATTCTATTGTTTATTTTTTCTAAAAGATAAAGAGTATAATTAAGAAATTTTGGGTGGCAAATTCGACACCGGGTTTAAATAATCTGAAATGCGAAACAACCGACATTCTATCCATTTGACAAGTGCCGGACACGGGATTTGGACGACCAGTCATACATTGAATATTTACTTTTTTTTTTTTTGGAAAACAAAAATGGATGAATGATCCGAATTGTCTATATATATTCAAAAAATCTTTTTTTAGAACTAATATGATTCGAGAAAATTTCCAAAGAAAATTTTGTTTCGCCATGGATAACTATTATTGGCAATTAACCGGAAATATATCAGTAGTAAATTGATACATCTAAAATCAGGAGAAC